AAACGAAATAGGCCTAGTTTGTAGAGTTTGGCGGGCGCGATCGATACGGACAGCTCGGTAGCATTGACTGACAAAAAATAGAAGAAAATAGTTTGATCGATAAGATGAATATGTGCGAATATATTCATAAGATTACTTATAGATTTTTTTAATATGATAATATTCATATTTTAGGGTCATAATTGTTGTTTTTTCCGTTGCTGTATAATTTTAGAAATTAGAAAATAAGAGCCTGCTTCTTCAGTCTTCTCTATACAGATATGCATTAAGTATTACAAAAAATATATATATATATATATGTATCTGAACACCATAAACCATTGATGCGAAAATGAGAACAGATAATAAGATCATTCGGGTATTTGTCAAGTTTTAAAGGATTAATTGATTAATTTTCGTTTATTTGTAGGCTTAAATTTATAGATTATCTATTCAGTTACGTAAAATACTGTACAATATTTTCGTTTCCTTGACGGTTTATTAAATAAGAGGGGATAAGATGACGATTAAATACACTATATATCCATACTTAGTGTTTGTATATATCTATATATCCATCATAAACATTTTATACAGAAAATACCGTATAGTAAATGATTAAATGAAAGACAATGAATTAGATTACCTAATAAATAACAGTGAAATTCGCAGTTTTAATTAATTTATACAATTAATGAACACTGTTTAAACTTAATACTATATTTCTTTTATTAACATTTATAAACAAACTTTTCGCTCCTGTAATTTATCTTCTTCTATCTTTCTCTCTTAAGGTCTCAGCCTATCTTGTGATCAATTCTCCTATCTTTCGTTTTTATTTTCTCTTTTAACTAACCCGGAAAGTATTAAATAGTAGAAATATACTATTTAATTAATTTATAGGCCGAATCAGCTTTAGAGGATAATAAAATATGTAATTGTTCAATTTCTAAACTTATTTAATTGATTTCTATATAATAAAAAAAATAATGAGAAAAGATTTGATTGTTCTCATCTCCCTTCCTCTCTCCCTCTCTCTCTCTCTATGCTAGTTTTATTGCGCGTGATTGATGAATATATTGTACATTACAATTTAGGCCTAATTGATTAAGAAGAATAAAACTTTTCATAAATGTAAAATTTTTTCCAACCTATTTTAAACACGATAAGTAAACAGTGAAAAAAAAACGAGACCATTGATCGTTTCCCTAAGCCAACTTTCACATCAACGTAACCCGAATAGAACTTAAAAAGTATTCTATAGATTTCTATTAACGTAGATAAACAAGGATGTAACACTTTATGCCTTTGATACACTTGAATAATATATGTAAATGGGGCCAAAAAAGGCCATTTAGACGTTGTAAAATATGTGAAGTTGCATAAATATCTGTCTCTGTTTCTATCTCTGTAACCAGTCTTCTTATTCCTTAAAATACAACATAGAGTTTAACTACTCGTGGAAAAAAAAAGAAAAAAAACAACATTTTTCTATTGATTCTTTTTTTTCTCTGTTGAAAAACTCTTTATTTGTTTAGATGATTAAAAAAAATCATTATTATCTTTAATCGCGAAATCTAGCCATCGTTCTCTTTATTGTTTTATTTCTAACACATATGTTTGAATGGTGTATATAAGTTTTGATATATAAAATAAACATTGCAGATTTTTTTTGCTGCCATTTTTTTACGGTTGAGCGAAAAGAAAAAAGAAATAAGATTAAAAAACATTTGCACATCAATAATTTAAAGTAGTTAACTCCATCTGTGATATGAAAAGTAATCGATCTTTATACATTTTTGCTGAGAAATCTATAATCAAAATTTTTTATTATTGATCATCCTTCTTTTCTTCTTTTTTGTTTTTTTGTCCCCTCCCCCCCTATTCATTCAATCTATCTATTCTTCTTCCTCTACTCTTAATAATATAATATAAAAAAAAAGCACTAAGTCAAATTCATATTCCCTTGTTATCTTTTCTTTTTTATCGATAAATACAAAAAGTAAAGGTAAATTAGCTTATTATTTATTAGAAAATTGACCCTCTCTTATAGATATATTTTAAACTTGGTATATCTAGATACAAGAAGAAAAAACTGTAAGATTATGAAATAGTATTGGTAGAAGGGAATCGCTAAAATACGAAAGAATTGATGATCAATTCCTAAAAGAATTTTTTTCAACGGGCATTCTACTTAATTTATGGCTTGAATATAAGGAAAAAGAAGAATAAGAAGAATAGAAGAGAGCATCTTAGTATTATTTCTATATATCTTGTCTTTCTTATTCTTTTCGCTCTTTTCTTTTTTGCTTTATTGAAATTAGAGCATTTTTTTTTAAAAAAAAAAAAACAAAAGAGAAAAAAAAGATGGACAAAAAATATTTAATGTCATAAAATCTATTTTGACTATAGAATACTATATATATAAATCTATATATTCTTATGTAACAGTAATTCTCGACCTTTTTTAGTATTATCAAGAAATTATACATATGGATTTGTTTACAATAATACAATATTT